CTCTGCCGTTTTTATATAATTAGTTTGTATTTTTACATATATTTTTTCGGATAAAAGCGTACAACGAGCGAACCACTAATCATCCAAATATACTCCCAGTCAATCTAATGAACACCCAAAGAGTTGCTCATAGACTAAAAAAAAAGATTTCTCAAGACATTCTCTGAGAGAGAATAAACGGAGCAGTCATTGGTCGACTTTTGTGCAAGCCCTTTAATAAAATAATTCTTACACATATTGCTGTATATCTGCCAGATTGATATATTATAATGATATTAAGAAAAAAAACAACAACCATAATATTATTTATATATTTATATAATATGGTTGTGTTTACTTAAAACTGATTGATTTCGTTTGTTAGGTGCCGAATTTAATGTCACGGAGACCTGAATCGGGGCAACGTCACAATAAATATTCAATAAATTGAATCAAGGAATAAGTGGAAAGCGATCCCATTTTTAAAACGATTGTGTAATTTTTAGTAAAATGCTTGAGACTTACTTAGGTAACTAACTTGGTAGTAAATATTAAATGAGTAAGTTCAGTCGATTCAGGCCTCGGTTTTTATTTACTACGGGGTCCTCAATGATGTTTTAATAAAGCTAACGCATATCTATACTGCACAGAGTTTGATAATTGATCCACTTTGCATTATATGACATATATAATTAAGTGATGTGGCAAATGTTATAGAATGTATGGATACAGAAAGAGATAGCAATCTCTAGAGTTGCATTTGACGTACGTTAGCCATAGATAGAATCAGACGAGAAATTACACTATTTGTCGTAGTTTGACTTTTGTCAAATAAATTACTTTTATTTGACAAAATAGAATCTCACTGATATTTATTCTTATTCTTATTTAGTATACAGTTTAAATTCATTATCGAAGCAGTTAATTTACCTCGACTCTAACAGATAAGTTACTTAGAATATGTAAATCGTCGTTTTTAAACATATTTCAGTTTTGTTTGCGTAAGTTAGAACAAAAGAGTAATTTCCTGTAAAAGATCAAAGTCAACTCATGGGAGCGTTCGAATAAGACTGTTTATTAATAGAAAAACTTATTTGCTAAGTAAAACAACAAGCCTTTTTGTGCCATTACTGTGTGTTCCGATGGTTTGTTACCAACAAACCATCGGAAGCTTGTATAATGGACCCCCACCGGATATCTACCATAATTAATCTACACTTGACAGCAGCTTTGCACGCTGTACAGCTTTCAAAAGTTCGACAAAGGCGAGGTATATTCGTGATCGCTTATTAAATTTACTTCAATTTATTCTTTCCTAATTTTAATAATCTTTGTTACTAAGTAAAAAGAAATTTCTAAGTTGCTTAAAGTTGCTTTATCATACAAATATACTATATATGTATATACAACACTTATACTTACTACATACAAAACAGATATTTTATTTGTTGATAAATGATTTATTAATAAACCTAACGTTGAAACCGTGAAAAAGCTTAGACGCTGTTCAAGTTTTTTTAACAGGACGTAGTAAATCTAACGCAAACATATCAGTCGGACGCGAGCTTTCGAGACGCGATATACTTGGCGCTCGGAACGCGATTAGGTTTGATTGGTACTGTTTTGTACGTATAAAGGTGGATAAAAATAGAAAAATTCATTTTAATGTTTATTCAATCGGGATAACTACGTCGGAGTAAGTCTGGTGAGTAATATTTTGGTTTTCTGTTAAGAGACCGTTTAAAAAGTGAAGTAGATATTTTCTGGCTAATACTGCAATATGTAAATTATTTATGCTATGAAATAATGTTTTGTTTCTTGGAAATTTAACGAAATATTTACAATATTTTGAACAAATGGCCATATGAGGTATAATATTTAAAAAAAAACTTTATATAATTAATGATACATATATCTGAAAATATAAAATTTCAGTGAAACCGAACAATGATTGTATGAAATAAATAAAATGTCATGCAATATTAATTACTGTTGTCTATAAAATAAGAGCATTTCCCAAACAGTTTTTTATAATAATCATTTGAAATGGAGAGTAATAGAGACAATTGGAGGTAGTATCATCAAATAATACGCAAATATTGTTTGATATTGACATTTTGAAAATGTTTTATGTGAAATTTTAAGAAAATCACTTTTTTTATTCCCATATGTCATACAGATTCTAGACTATTTTCAGTTCTATGTCTATATACTTAATTAAAATTATAAGTGAAAAAAAAAAATACATTGCTTTTTTCCGTACCTAAAGGGTGAAACGTGACCTTATCACTAATATTCCGTTGCCTGTCTGTGTGTCTGTTTGTCTGTCTGTTTGTCCCTCCGTCTGTCCAACCATCCTTCCGTCCGTCTATCATCAGGCTATATCTTATGAACCGTGATAGAAGAGAAGAGAACAGAATAAAAAATATTTAAGTCGAGCTTCTATACAACAGACATGATTATTTTATAGATAATGGTACGGAACCCTACGTGCGCAAGTCCGACTCCCACTTCGCCGGTTTTATTCAAAGAGGTATAATGTTTTAATATAACCAAATCTAGAACATCTTATTTCTCTTTCGCCATATTCAGTAAAAGCGTTTGAAAATTTGACGACATTGGAAAGAACTATTTTCTTGTATGCTTTAAATTCATTCATTTTCGTAAGATCATTTATAAATCTATCCAATCAACTATATCAATTGCTAATAACGACGATAATTTGACGACCCGAATGGCGTAGTGGGTAGTGTACCTGCCTCCTGCGCCAAAGGGTGTGGGTTCGATCCCCACTACTGGAAAAATATTGTGTGATGAACATGGTGTTTTTCTAGTGTCTGGGTGTTTCTATATGTATAATATGTATTTATTTACAAAAGAAAAGTATGTTTAAGTATTTTTATCAGTTTTCTAGTACCCATAGTACAAGCTTTGCTTAGTTTGGGACTAGAAAATGTTGTGTACAAATGTGTCCTAAATATTTATTTATTTATTTATTTATTTATTTATTTATTTATAACGTAAAAAAGCTCTATGCTGGAATCAACGGGAAAGGTATGTATATAAAAAAATGTAAAAAAGACTATTATAGTCTTCATCAGCTTCAGACGCGAATAGCGCTTAATAAAATTAACATGATGTTAGATGATTCTGTTTCTATTAAATTTATTCATTATGATTACTTTATTTAACAACCGTAAGCGTAGGAGTGTATAAACATAAATGAAAGTACCAAACTTGTTCTTTATCATACCTAATTTTGAAGTTTTAGGGAGCTAATATTATTATTGTATTAATAACAAAAATTGTAAAATAAATTTTAAAACCATTTCATTTAAATTTTTATTTATTTAGTTATAAAATTTGTAAGCCATTTTATTCCCACCCAAATCAGAATCTTTATATTCGGATGTTTACTTATTTTATTTTTTTATATTTTTATTTTTATCTATAATGATATCTAACTTTTCTTTCTGCACAATAATAAGTTTATAGGCAGTATAAAAATTTCATATGACATCAACTATGAATTATTTTTGATGTAAATAAAATTGATTTTTTTGTTCAACAAAATTGAATAAGCCCATTCGATTTCAATGTAGAAAATATTCAATAAAAGTATACTCAATATAGTATATTCAATATAGTAAGTAAGCTACTTTATACGCTACTACATAGGTAAATACACACTTTAGACTGGGGCATACATTTACTCTGAGTTGTTAGTTGAAGAAAAGGTTAGTGTTAAGCTATGAAGAGCAAGAATGAGAAGTTAATAACCGCTTCATTTTTTTTTTGATTTGGATAATATTGATATTGATCTAATATCAATCAATTCACCAAAATAATTATATAATTCTAGACTTGCCTTGGATCATATTCATAATTCGTAAAAACAATCGAGGTTTGCATTATATGAAATTTTTATCCATTATTGTAAATACTGTAAAAAAGTTAAAAAGGTCAAACTTACCTAACTTTAGATATTCTCTGTCAGTCAACCCGGGACGTGAATATATATCGCATTAGACACGTATATTAGTGATTTGATTGGCTTTTCCTCCGCTGAGAGCTATCATCGGGGCCCAACCTCTTAAAAATGGCCACATCAGCTGCAATACAGTGTAACAGAGTTGGCGATAACCATTTAGTATTTGATCAATCGCCTGCACGATGGCTATTTTCTTAAATTAACCAAATTGTTTATACCTATGTTAGTTATACAACTAGAAGTATTTCTTAGATGCTTTTCTAATAAAAAAAAATTTACCAATTTACTTTAGGCATTTTTTACGAAAACAGATCCTAATAGTTCTATTTGGTGATAACATTAGAGCTAAGCCATGTATCCTTATTATTTTGATTATTTATTTGAACACAAGATTTGGCAACCTGCCTAATACTGAACTTCATCTAGTATGTTGTAGACTTTTTCAAAACTTTAGCAATTCATTAATGCTATATATTGCAATTGATAAAACTAAACATTTCTCAATTTTCATTCCATTTATTATATTTGATGTTGTTATATACATTATATAGCATTTACATCATGTTTTTGAGTTGTCTTCAAATTTTGCCACTTCTCTGTTACGATGTGGGATTATTGTGACGTAGACGAATATGGTTAGTTATCGTTAAAGGTTGCAATTTAGGTACCTATATAATGATATTTTTTTATCAGGTTTAAATTAATATTTTAAAATTTTTAGTTCTTTTTATTAACAAGAACATGATAAAAGCTTGTTTTTTTAAAAAAAAATTCAATTAAAACAAGTTTCAAGTTTAAAAATGAAATGTCTCTTGGCATTAATTAGTACACGAGAGTAATCGTTTAATTAATGAGCGTTTTCCTAATAAAGTTCCTGACACAAAGATATGTAAATATACTTCTCTGTTACAGGATAATGGAGAACTTCGTAAAAACAAGAACACAACATATTTTTGATAAGAGCTTTTTCTGCAAGTGGAGTAAATTTGAATACTTACTATAACATATCAGTCTGCGATAGAAAACAAAAATGCCGTTTGTAAACAGCAGCGCGACGAACATAACAGAAATACTGTCGAATTTATTCGGCGAAATGCTTTTAGCGTCAGAACCGGAGAATAGTAGTAACGTTGATGTGTCGCAATATCTATCCGCAATAAAGGAGCATTCGTCAAAAGGCAACCCCGAGAACTTCGATTTTGGAACATTGATAAAACTGGTGGATGGTTGGAGAAACAAATTGAACTTGACGAAAACTGTAGAAGCAAGGGCTTGCAATTATTGCGAAGGCAGTTTCCGAGAACTTGTATTGGCTTACAACGGCATTCACGGTTATGTCAGCCTGATCGTAAGTATTTCATTCCCTTAAGGACGCGTTTACGAATTCACGCGCTTCAATTTTAGGTACAGAGGCGTACTACTACACGTGCACGGCTCACGCACACAGCGACAAGCGCGAAGCGGCGAAACTTTATTTAACTGACGCAACTTGATACTTTTATTTAATTTGAAGTCATTTATTTTTTAAGCTTACGTTAAATTTGTTTTCAACAAGTTTTTAAACTGAATATTTTTATATATTTAGATATAATTTATTTAATTTAATTTAAAAGTTCGTAGCTGTTGATAATTTGCGTTTTAATTAATTTGGCATCTGAAACAACAATTGAGTTATAAGAGGTATAAATGTTGTATGTGATAACTGTGCCATAAAATAAGTCTTTGATAATTTAAATTGAGACCCACTACATTTTTACATAACTATTTTTTTTCGTGTTTTGCCTATTTTAAAGACGTTCTTACTATTGATACCATTTGTTCAAAAAGATTGCAAGTCATTTAAAAAATTAAGTATTATTTTAGGCAGAATCCATGATCATAAAAGTTGGTCAGTGCGAAACACGACAAAACAATAAAAGATAAGTGGGGTCATAAACGTGAAACAAAAAGTTTGCCACATAGCTGTCGTTCGAAACTTAACAATGTAAAGTTTAAGAAGTATATGTTTATTACACCTATTCATTGAAATATACAAAAAAATGACCTTTTAGACATCCCTAATTTTGCAATTTGCAGGTGTGCAAATTTGTTTTGTATTACTTGTATTTTTAATTATCCATACAACTTTTCTACATGTGGTGTACTTTTGGCCAACATTTGGCTGCATAGAAATAAGAATTTATAATAAAATACCAGATAGCTTCATAGGCCTCCCGGAGTATTTAAATTTAAACGAAAATTCTAAAGTATTCAAGACGATCTACATCAAATCTGTACACTGTCAAATTAGACATTTAAAATATTTAATTATGTCTAAGTAATCTAGAATGTTTATTTTAAAAATTCATTACTTTGACTGTGATTTACTTTGACTTATATTTATACTCTATTGACTCATAATTATAATCTTAATTTAATTTTTTTTATAATAACATGTTTCACAAATATTTATACACAGAATTGATGTAGAATACATAGTTCCATATTTTAAATAACTTTATTACTGTATTCTTACACCTTCATGTCAATACATCAATTTCAAAGGTAAGGTCTCAAAAAAAGTCACAAAACAAGACCAAACTTGACACACATAGCTCAACTCGCCTGTTAGTTCCAGTAGAAGTACTGGAAGTACACCTTCAGGTCACTCCATCAAGTCAGAAGGCAAGGTCTCACCATACCTAACAAAACAAGCCCAAACTCGACACACATAGCTCATCTCGTCTGTTAGTTCCAGTAGCAGTCCTCGAAGTACACCTTCAGGTCACTCCATCAAGTCAGAAGGCAAGGTCTCACCATACCTAACAAAACAAGCCCAAACTCGACACACATAGCTCATCTCGTCTGTTAGTTCCAGTAGCAGTTCTCGAAGTACACCTTCAGGTCACTCCATCAAGTCATAAGGCAAGGTCTCACCATAACTAACAAAACAAGCCCAAACTCGACACATATAGCTCATCTCGTCTGTAAGTTCCAGTAGCAGTTCTCGAATTACACCTTCAGGTCAATCTATCTAGTCAGAAGGCAAGGTCTCATCATACCTAACAAAACAAGCCCAAACTCGACACACATAGCTCATCTCGTCTGTTAGTTCCAGTAGCAGTTCTCGAAGTACACCTTCAGGTCACTCCATCAACATACCTAACAAAACACGCCCAAACTCGACACACATAGCTCATCTCGTCTGTTAGTTCCAGTAGCAGTTCTCGAAATACACCTTCAGGTCACTCCATCAAGTCAGACGGCAAGGTTACACCATACCTAACAAAACAAGCCCAAACTCGACACACATGGCTCATCTCATCTGTTAGTTCCAGTAGCAGTTCTCGAAGTACACCTTCAGGTCACTCCAACAAATCAGAAGGCAAGGTCCCACCATACCTAACAAAACAAGCCCAAACTCGAAACACGTAGCTCATCTCGTCTGTTAGTTCCAGTAGCAGTTCTCGAAGTACACCTTCAGGTCACTCCATCAAGTCCGTAACGAAATATGAATTTTTAACCCCTACTAATTTCTAATAAAAATATGACAAGTGTGAATTAAATTTTACTTTTGTCGTTCGTAGTCCGAAGTCCGAACATGATGTGTAAAGTATCAACTTTGTTACGACAAATATTTTGTATTCGTTCAGCGATCTTTTTCCTCACGAGCTGCTGTTTATAAGCGACACACTGACCACTCATGACGGCAGCCAAGCGCCAAAGAGAATGTAATCACTACGTTTTGCCGAGCGCCGACTAATATTTCTTCAAATATTTTTGTGGTATAAATCAAAAAAGTGACCAGTAAAATAACCTTTATGTCAATCGCTTAAGATTCACGCGTAAGATATAAATGTGAAAGAAATAGACTTTAATCTTTATTTTTTTCTGAAACTAATTTCAAAAATTTTGATACGTAATGTAGCCTACCTTTTTGAGTTGAACATGTGTGCTTACATAAAATATTTTAAATAAAAAAAATATGTTATTAAATAAGAGAAAAATGTTCCTAAACCCAACAGGATATCGTCCATTTTGAGTGAAGTGGCAACAAAAATTCTCATTTACAATATTATAAACCAAAATTTTCGATTAAATACTATCTACCATTTGAAGATGAAGGAGGGATCTATATGTGATAATTATTACTTACATTATATTCGTTTCGTTTTGCCGCAAAATGTACCTGAAAACTCCCTCTTTTTGTAGATTCCGCGAGATTTCGCAAACACGCCCTTAAGCACTATACGCACATTAACCAAGGTTATTTTGCATTAAAAATCATATATCAATAATACTGAGGATTCTAGTCATAAATAATCTGAAGACTGAAGACTTGCTTCCACAAACGATAGAATAAGGCCGAATTGTTATTAGTTAAATTACACAAACTGCAAAACAAGAGCTATAAAACTCACTGCACAGATGGCGCAATTGTTAAGTGGTCACTTAGCCAACTTTTATTGCGCACTCATTGCGAGATCCCATTCGAGACAAAATTCGTATGATGTTTATGAACATCGCCGTCACACAGGGATTGTTCTAAGGAAAGGCAGGATTCGTTTTATCTTCAAAGCATTAAAATTTTGATTAATTTTTTCTACGATTTAAGTACAAGATTATTCAAGTACACGATTTAACGTATATAGTTGGCGATAGGTACTTGACTAACAATCCCCTTCTTTCGTCAAGGTGAATGTCAACATCCTCAATTTTTATACCTTCATGTAGGGTTGTAGCGAATATTACAAAAATATTGTAAACTATCGTACTACTCGGTTTGTTATAAACACATCTAAATTTAAGCACTCGTCTGGTGTCTGGCAAAGAAAACCGACGCGGTTGTAAAATACACTTGGAATTTTGTTATGCCAACTGAAGTGGTAAATATTTAAATTTATAGAGTCAATTTAGAAAGAAGAAGAAAGATACGTTTGTTTGTTAGAACATAGTACAATATAGGTCTTAAAAGCTGTGGATCCTTTATGTTGTACCATTTCTGGTGTACATTTGTACACAAAATGAAATATTTATTTCATTTTACATTATAATAATAATAAGCTAAGGCGTTCGTCAAGGGCACAGGCTACCTTTAGAAATTGTAGGCTCTACAATGGATGAAATTTATTTTGTGATACTGAGTATGATCTTGAAGTTATCAGTGGCCTAGATTGCCATAGACTGTATCAAAACATGTTGGGAGTCCTTCTACCTAACGACGGCGAGACTTAATTGGATCGTCCGGATTTTACAAAGGAAAAAACACTCGCATGCAAAACAAACATATATCGATTATTAGTTATTACTTATATATAAGTCCTCTCAGGAGCTAAGTTGGCCAAACAATTCATACGGAATATATACAGTTTTCTCTACTTTTTTCGGAAATCTTTATCATCTTATTTATCATCCATAGTTGATAAAGTTAAATTAAAATTAAATTTTCAACATTTTCTTGTCTCAATGAGGTCATAAGATAGTTTTGATTGATATATGATATAATGATAGTTTTGTACCGAAAGGGTCAAAGCATGTTATTACTTCCGGAAAACTGGATACGAGGCTATTGAATTTTATCAGTAATAATTCAGTAACTTCCTGAATGGAATGTGTTTTCTGAATGCTTTCAAAGGAATTTATTGTATTTACTGTATTTAACAGTCAGTTTTCCAGCTTCCTGTTTTATTATTTCATTTGAATACGACAAGCGTTACTGAGTTCTTCACACTTCGAATGTTTTGCTCAGATAACAAAGACTGAAATCTTTGTTAAGTTCTATCAATAAATATGTCAACACAGCAAACGTTTGTCACGTTCATCTTTCAAGTTTGTTTCTTTTTAGCGTGATACAAAGCTTTAATTATAAATGGATATTTTTTCTTATTGGCAATGAATTCTTTTTAAGAAACATAGACGTCTTTTTGAGTAGTGGGACTTAATTAATTATTTTCACCTTTCGGCTATAAAAGATTTTTTTTATTAAAATATGTAGAAAATTATTTTTTTTTAAATCAGATGATGGTCAGATAGTCAAAATAAAATTTACAAAAAAATCCTAGACATAATCATATCCTCTTAAAAGTCGTTCATGACACTTTTATGATGCAATACATCTCGCTAGAAAGTAACGAAGTAAGTACGAAGTAAGTACTAAACAATTCCTTTAATGAACTTTGCAATAAGTATCTAATAGTTGTGACCAATTTTGTAAAATATTGTGTTGTGAGCTTATCGTGAGCTATGTATTTGAGATGTATATTCATTGTGCCTAAAAGTAAATGTTGCTGTAATGTAGGTAAAATGTAAGGAAACTTTTATTTTTCCGTAACAAAATTAATAAACGGAACCTATCATGAACAAAATTATAAATAAGATTTATTTTCCCCTTGTACGTATAAGAGCACTAGTAAATACCATTGTAATCTAGGTCATTCTTTGTCTTGCATGAGTAATATACGAAGTAATTCGACGTTAATTTTCTCAAGTCAATTTCGCTAGGTCTTGTAGATAAAATTCACTTCGTGCTAGCGCATTGTACGGACCTTTTCTAGGAACAAATATTGATATGCAAATGAACACAATACGCCGAAAAAAGTTATAGAAGAGTGAAGAACACATATAGAGGACAGAAGTAAACAGTGCCCATTTTCTATGGTCATTAGGTAGGTAGGTGATATTTTTTTATTCGAAACGTTTTCAAGCGAGCAGGCGGTTAATACGATGTTAAGTGCATACCGCCGCCCATGTACATCTTCAACACCCGGTAATGCAGATGTGTTGACAACCTTAAAAAAGTCTGCCTCTGTTACCTCACTGACCAGACGAGAGGCGCAAGCTTTCTTCCACCTCAAGTCGATCTTCTGTGAGGCTATTGTACGAGTACTTCCCCGGACGAATCTGCGTATTCGTGCAACAGCAAAAACTGTTGCGTGGGCTTTCCACAGTTTAGTGTTGTCAGTAGAATATACACTTCTGCCTCTGAGGCACCTATTGTTTTTATTCAACTGTGTGCTTGTTGTATTAGGCGACAGCTCTCTCAATTCACTCTAGTATATCTAAAGCACAGGTCAGGGCTTACTTCGTAGGGCACACACGGGCCTATTTTAATCGTTTTTTTTTAATGTGAAAAAGTGGCAAACTGGCGGTTCACCCGATGTTAAGTAATAACCGCCGCCGACGGACGGAAGACTACGGCTTCACCATCGCTATAGACAAAAGGAAAAGGTCCAAAAAAGGGCTAGTAAAAAAGTCAAAGCGCTATAAAATCTAAGTTGTAAACATTAAAAATTGATTTAGTTTCAAACACTAAAGACTCCTTACTGCGATGACATCACCAAAATAATGAATTATATATAGTCTACGGTGGTAGCGCCACGCAGCAGCTTCGGCTGTTTCACGAATGGGCAGGCTCGCCCGGGTGAAGTGGAAAGTGGAAGTATAATACTTTCGCGTTTCGTCTGGTGAGTGAGGTGGCCGGATGCCGTTTCAAAAGGTTGTCAATGCATCTGGAACCCTTGAATGTAGCAGATGTCCATGGTAGGCGGTATTCACTTAACTTCAGATGAACCGTCTGCTCACTTTGCAACTTTTCACATAAAAAATAAATATGCTCCAGTCTGCATAAGTAAGAGTTTCTGTCGTACGTGTTTCTATTGTGGTAGAGTCAATCAATACTTGGCTCTGCATGACACCGAAGTAAAGTGGTATTATTTGCCTTTCAAGCATTACGCCTGGTGAGTGCCTGGGCCCACTCTTTTAAAGATAATCAAGACACCTATTGCCACAAGTGTGGTTGAAGTCTAGGGGAAGTTCCAATCACTATTAATGGAGAGCTTTCTCGCATAAAAAACGAAGAAGCAACGAATTGATCACTGTATAGTATTAGCAAATTGTTAAGAGAAATTGCCAAGCATTGCTTCACATACTAAAAAATAATGTAGATAAAATACGTTGAGATTTTCGTCGGTTTTGTAATCTGTGGCAAACTGTTTAGTTTAGTGAGACGTGGATTCGATTCCCACAGCGGCGATAAACTTTTCGTACTTTTTCATACAAATTTTAATGTTTAATCTTGAGTGCAGAGATTAGCACTGAAAAAAAATTTGAGTGACTAAGAGAATTAATATCATAACAATAGCGTGATGTTTTAGATATATGAAGTTAAAATATTCGTAATTTTGCAGGTCTGCTTTTTCGGAAGTTTAGCTAACGCTCTAAATGTTGCTGTGTTGACGAGACGCGATCTCGCTGCGGCGCCCATTAATCGCCTGCTGAAGTGGCTCGCGGTTGCCGACGTCTTTGTGATGGTGGAGTACGTGCCGTTCGCTGTCTACAGGTACCTTGTAAGTTTTTGAGTTTGTTTTTCTTTTCTTATTACGAACAACCTAAGCGTTTTTTATTTAATGAGGCAGTTTTTAAAAAGAGGTATTCAGACAGTTCGGCAAATGAATAAGGCCTTAAGAGTATCTAACGTTTTGATTCGGATAAATTATTTAAAGTGGATATCATTCATGACAATTAATTAAAATTGGAGACCAAACGGTGATAGTTAATTTTGTATTGATATTAACTTTTCTCGATATCTCTACAACCTTGCACATTTTCTTCGGTCAACAGCTTATCTCTGTTTATATCACAGTTATCTACCAGTGAGCACTAAGCGCCATCGATTATTGATAATATACTAACAGTGATTACCAATAACAGATTCATTTACAATTGATGAAATTGAGGTATTTAAAATAACTATAGGAAATGTTTTCGGAATTTCAGGAATATTTGCACATTGAGTAATGTGCAAATATTCCTATGGTTTTATTTAGTTTAATGTTATGTAACAAAATGATGTCTTTTTAATTATTACAAAAAGCGTTTCAAACGAATACCTGATTTGAGATTCATTTAGCCGGAATAAAATATCATTTTCTTTTGTTAACACGCATGAAATTTTTACAAGTAAAAAATGTAAATATGTCTTTTTTTGAAATATTTTATATTGAATATTTCTTTAATGTCCTCTATAATAGACATTGTTTTACTTCATTGCCATGTTTTGTTTTTTTGAGATACTGCCTGGACAACGAGAGATGCCGTACAACTGGGCAGTGTATTTGCTGTTTCACATGCACTTTGCTCAAATCTTCCATACAGCTTCTATCTGTCTCACTCTTTCACTAGCCGTTTGGAGATATATTGCTATAAAGTAAGTATTGAAATGATTATCTTACGATATATATGAACATATATCTATTGTTATTCAGATATACGTAAGTACCTATATCCGAATGATAATAGTTTGATGACGCCGTGGCGCGGTTTCAGGGTCGGGGGTCGTGGGTTCGATTCCCACACGGGATAACTATTTGTGTGACCCAAAGATCTGAGCATCTGAGCCTCGCTACTGAGTGTTTGCCTACGTGAAATTTGTTCGTGAAACGTCCTTGAAACAACAGAGGATAATGTTATCTTAAAGTTTTGAGTAATTTATGAAAACATTTTTAAGGAATAATAAATGTACCTAAAATGTTATTGTTCGTAGGTATTCGGAAAAAAACCACATACTGTGTACTGAGCGGCGTTGTAGTTTGGCAATACTTAGTAGCTTTCTTCTACCACCAATACTGTGTATTCCCACTTTTTTGGTGAGTATATGATCTTAATGCCTTGATGTTACTTTTTTCATTGGGACTTTACTACTTGATAGCGGTTACTTTCCAAAAAAGACCTAGGTTATTCGAGATTATTCTAATGTTGTACTATGCTAGAATACCCCAAATTTTTCTTCTATTTTCTACTTATCTATTGGTTCTTTAATGCATCTCTTTAAATTATTGCGGTGAAAGTTCTGATGCAAATTACCTGAAATCAAAATAACTGTATAGCCATTTATTCATTACTTAGTAGAGGAAATATCAATTTAAGCAGTTTATTGATTTTAATAAAGGTTAGATGCTATCAGTTGGTATTGAAATTGAAAAAGACACCATTATTTTTTATATGTAATGCGATATTTAAGTTTAAAAAATCAGGATTTCCTTTATTATATGTATCTATTTGTTTTAATTAATATAAAAGGACACTGCCTTCCACATTTTTAAATGACAATTGGTTTCTTTTTTAAACAGGTCTTCGACATCCACATGGCCGTGGTATTAGAAACATGGGGACCCATGATTCTTTATCACGTGGACTCAGATCACGAAGGGCAGCTGTATCAAATAAATTTCTGGATTCACGCGGTTGTCATCAAACTGTTGCCATGTTGTATATTAACGGGTATCAGTTTGTGGTTGATACGGGAAGTGAACAGCGCAAATCGGCATCAAAGAAAAATAAGAGTTTACACCTCGTGTGTGACAAACAAAGCGGGGAGGCGACATAACAAGGCGGACAAGCGGGCGAATAGGACAACTAAAATGCTAATCGCAGTGCTGGTTTTATTTCTTGTGACAGAACTGCCGCAGGGCATCCTTGGACTTTTAAGCGGTCTGTTGGGACGGTGCTTTTTCAAAGGATGCTACGATCTATTTGGGGAGCTAATGGACGCTCTGGCGCTTCTGAACGGGGCTATTAACTTCATTCTGTACTGCTCGATGTCTCGACAATTCCGGATGACATTTCGCCAGCTCGTGTGGCGGACGCATCTGCATAAGTGGCCGCCACCGACCGTCTCCCATTCCGATGGCCTCAATACGTAAGTGTGTGTGATTTTTATGGTACGACACAACCCTACTTCTATCGTTGTTCCCTGAATATTTTCGTATTCTAAGCGTTCGCCTTTTTACTTTATCGAATCAGTCATCACGTCACCACTCGTGCATATAAAGGAACATTAATGCAAATGCAATATATAAAATACTGAATACACGACAAAATTTTCGTGCAATATTTTTTAACATATGTTCTTTGTCGAAATCAATGACAAAGAACAGTTTAATATATTAAAAAATTAAATATCATTGTAAGTTACTGGGGTGAAAAAAAAAAACTTTTGTTGCCGTTTAGTTTCCTTTTTATCTTTTTTTCTTAATATTTTCTTACCAAAACATTTAGGTTATTTACAACATGCATGTCACCGATTTTCATAGCAGATTCATTTAAAAATTTGTGAAACTTAACTTATTAATTTACTGTTTACTCACTTGAGCATGTAAACTAAAGATCACTTTATTATATATCTAAATAACGTTGTTATCAGTATAAATAATGTTTATTTCAGAGCGAAATCATCGATTCCGTGAGGAAGGATTTTAAAGAAGAAAGAAGAAATTGCTATGCAGAATTTTGTGTAGTTTACCTAAATATGTTTTTCTTTATAATGTTATAAGATATTTATTTATTGTAAGATGCTTGTGACTGTGTAAAGTTAAGAAATGTCGCAAATTTTTCACTAAATGGACAATGATATCAGTTTCTTGTGTTGATAGTTAAACATTAAAACCAGAATAAACTTTCATAAAATAGATCACTATAGTAATTATCTTCTAATTTTAAAAATTAATTTTGTGTATGAATTAAACATATATAAGTATAGTAAACAAAATAAGTAAGTAATAAGTATAATTAGGATTGATGCGAATACTCTACATTTTGAAAACATAACTACACCAAAACGCAAAAATACCGACACGCAAAAAATTTTTTATCTCTTTGGGTATTTAAAATTGATTCTAGGATCTGTAGTACATTGTAGATGATTGATGTGGGCGGCGTCGAGGAGCACCATTTTTTGCATTTGGTCGGAGCGATTCACCATCGAGCTCTAGTTACCATAAATTTCCAAAGAAGCTGACTGGGATGAATCCATTCGCAGACTATATCGACTATAGGATTGATTGGATCGGCACCCCACCCCACTTTTCAGTCACCTCTGAGCCAGTTCCGGATATCATGTCTTCTTATTCCTTTCGGCTTTCACGATGTTCTCGTCATATGTAACATTAATCTCCACCAAAAATACTCGACTTACCCGGTTCATAAGCTGATCGCCGACCCCATTTTTTTTCTAGTGACAGAATTATCGCAAGTTATTTAATACATTGTAAAGCGAATCGTTTTTGTGAGTGGAATGTCGAGAGCAGCTTTATTTTAGCTTCACCAAGTCGTTGTTGTAGCCAAATTTTGAAGCCTGTTACAGACTTGAACCTTGATATGTCGTTTTTTAAAATACTGCTTATGATGAACTTCTCGTATGGTTGTGCATTTTGGGCATTTAACGGTTTTCTATAAATTTTCATTTTCTTGGCAAAAGGAATAGGGGAAGACAAGCAAAGAGATGTATAGACGATATAAGAAAAATTGCAGTCGCTACCTGGTCTAGAAAAGCTAGATACAAAAATGAGTGGAAACAGTTGGAAGAAGCCTACGTGTCACAGGACACGCTGATTAATAAACCTGAAAACCCGATGTGTTAGACAGATCTCTTAAAATCGGTGGATTAGTTTTTGGATCTTAGATATAAATAAACTACTGTTTTAGCAATACTACACCGACTTATTTGTGCTATAGAAAATAATGTGTGTACATTCTTCAGGCAATAGTGAAATGAGACAGCGCTGATTAGCGCGGGTATTCCAAGAAATTGTTTATAATACCTGCTCGCTTTAAAAGAAGAGAACAATGTTTGTATTCTAATTTTGCAATATAGTATATCTCGAAATTCTGAATTTTAATTGTTAAACTGTCGAACAAATAAACCCTATTTTCAGATGCCTAATAAGGATTACTAATCTACATACATGTAACATGATTACATTTTACATACTTAAATTAATTAGGGAGATATCAAGATTTTTCTATGCGATCTGTTATTTTTGCGGCCTCCCGTAGGTAAGTAAGGTCTTCTTTATGGATTTTTAATCGCGTGTTATTTTGACTTTAAATTTTCGGCGTTTCGAACACTTCACAGGTTCATGGTAACTGGGCCATGGGCTGGACTGAGTTGTTTTACATCCTAACGTCAGACTTAACACTGGCTAGATACCATAACTTATTTTACTATTCATTTTATTTCAAACAACGCAAAAAAGTGATAATAGTATCTTGACGTCTTGCAGAGTTGGTGTAATGAGATTTAATTTTATAAATTGTGTGAATTTAAAGAAAAAACAATACGCGTTATAAACCGTGAAATTGTTTTACTTAAACTTGTAAATATTATATATTATTTAAATATGATAAATAAATAGTATATGTATATATGTTCACTATAACCTTGTAAACATATTTGTATTACATAATACCGAAAAGCTCGCTAGCTTAAGCCATTATTAAATTGATGATAATGTAATATGGAATTAATAATAAATAATGGAATTTAGAATAGAAGCATATATTGTATAGAAGCGATAATATTGGCTAGTCACGTATTACTAGTCTCATTGATGTTATATGTGTATAGTATAAACTGCCTAATAATAACAGGGATGTTTTTAGGTATGTGAATCGAGTACGTAATAAGCAAAATATTTCAATAATATAAACAATAACATTTATATATTTTTGTCGCTAATAAATATTTATTTGAATTGAGTCCTTAAAATTCATTTTACCATAAACTCCACTTTTATACGCTCGACTTTATTACGTTTCTTATAGTGACGTGTTTGACGGCATAAATGTTTATGTGATTACGTTGGCGTTTTACATTAATAAAATTATTATTTTATTGTCTGTTCTCTTAATGGGTTTAATTTTAAAGTACACAAGTGTTGATGGCTTTATTTTTAAGACTGATTTTAATTCAATCAAACCTTGCAGGAAGATATCAGGTAGGTTCGAAGTCGTTTATTGTTCCTATTAGTTAAAAATCTCCGCTTTTAGTAAAGGTAGAAACCAATGAGTTTCAATTTTTTTATAGTGCTAATCTCTGCACTTAAGATTAAACATTAAAATTTGTAGAAAAAGTATGAAAAGATGTTCGCCGCTGTGGGAATCGAACTCATGTCTTCGGACTTTGCAGCCTGACGCTTTAGCCACTTAGCTAAACGACTGATTGCCACACTGACGAAAATCTTAACGTCTTTTATCGACATTATTTTTTAGCATTTGAAGCAATGCTTGGCGCATCCATTATTATATCCTTTCCAACATACAAACATAAAAAACATAATTTTAAATGGTTTCAAACATGGTTTCTTCGCAAAGAACATCACAGCATAACCATGGCCATCAAGCATGATAAAGTTCTGCACTGCATCAATCTCACTCTTTGAGGGGCGGTGTCCGGGCGGTTACTTAAAATTTTACACTCATAATTTTTTCGAAACACGCCAAAAGAAGTATAACTACAAAAATTCTCATATAATGTATCTACATTATATGAGAATTTTTGTAGTTATGTATAATGACAATAGTGTTATATATAATTTAGTATTATATATAAGTATATATAATGACAATTCAGTATTAAATAGATAGTCTATTAACTGTGGTAGGGCCACGCAGCAGCCTCGGCTGTTTCACGAATGGGCAGGCTCGTCCGGGTAAATACCACGACCTCACAGAAGACTGGCGTAAAGTGGAAGTATAATATTTTCGCGTTTCGTCTGGTGAGTGAGGTAGCCGGAGCCCAATTTTCAAAAGGTTGTCAACGCATGTGTAACCCTAGGGTATAGCAGATGTCCATGGGCGACGGTATTCACTTTCCATCAGGTGAACCGTTTGCTCGTTTGGCAACTTTTCACATAAAAAAAAATGTTCGGTCTTCTACTCTGTACAGGAATTGCCTGGGGGCAGATGTCGCAGCTATCAATAAAATTATTCAAGGTAACAATAATTATATATATCATATACACAAACACGTTAAGCTCATTACGATAAAATTATGATAATCGTTTCCAGAAAAAATTTAAGAATACCGCCGAAAAACTTTCGCCGTTATAATATTAGTAACGAAGCAAGAATTTTAGCTTGCTGTAATTTATGTAACAAAACATTACCATATATATTGTAGATGAATTGGGTCAACGTGGCTTATAAATTAATTTTGATCACAATATATGGTACCAGTATCATTTATAACAATTATTCTATGATTTGGGTTGCTGCCTAGCGACAAGACATCAACACGATCACTATACATGTAAGCACACTTTAAGTAAGTGGTTGTAATTACAACAGTCCCATTCAATTAATTCGCAATCTCAAATTGACATTTTCGTGTCGTTCAGCATTACGTATCCCTAAGAGCATTAACATTATTTAATTTATCAACGGGCAATTGTGATTATTACATGTCTTACGGGATTGACTTCGAAAGTCTTCTTTTATCTTTCATGGATGACAAATTGGTAATGACATTTTAATACAATTTCCTTTTCTTAAGGTAACATGTAAAACTGTGGTAAGGTTATGTAGCAGTTTCGGTTACACGAATGGGAGGCTCGTTTGGGAAGCATCTCGGCCCATAGAAGACTGGCGTGCGATAGAAGTATTGTATTTCTTTTCTGTTGTGCTTCTTTTGGTTAATGCGATGACCGTGACCCACTTTATTAAAGGTGGTGAATCTTGTGTCATAAGACTTTTATGTAATCAAACTATCATTAAAATAGTGCTTTGTTACTGTTTCAATATTAAAACATAAAAACTGATGTATCGTTGGTAATTTGTTCTATTGTCCCTGTTAACAAAGGTTATCGTTAAAACGAATATTATAAATGTTAGTTATTTAAGAAGAAACTCTGTTCCTATCGTTCGTGTTATGATTTAACTATATTGTTAACAGGATCTCGGAGATAGTTAGCCAACTATCTCTATATTGAATTTATTTAGATACCTAGAGTCTGGTTGATGAGACTTTGAATGTGTCCATAGACTGCAGATTTATTTGATTTGTTATGAGCTATATTTAATTTTTACATGGGTTTGGTTGCTCTTTTTATTTATTCGAACTAAGACAGATTACATTTAAGCTCTGGCTGTAGTTACTCTTGCATAAAGAACAACAGGTACTCGTTTCACTGTGGCAGGTTTTACTCAGACATTGTGACGTAGGCGCGTTGACAGAAGCTTGGTGACGCTAAGCTAGGATGTAATCAGAAGCCAGATCATCTATTGATTACAAACCGATTGTTCGTCATAAAAAAAACCTCAAGCTTTCTAAAACAATGATTAAACCCCGATTTTTAACCACGGTATTTAACTGGGAAGAATGGTGGTGGGAGTTTCCATTAAACTTAGATTTTATGGGTTATTAGGTTATATTTTATGGGAATATTATAATACCCAGGTTGATTCA